AAAGTTGAGATGACTTGGATGGGAAACGAATCACAATAGTGTGCATTGCATTGGCACACTACAAACCATCCAACATGTTACACATTTCTTTATCCTAAAGCTTGATTAGTATTTAAAACTGTGAGTTAAAGTTGACAGGATTTATGAAACTATGGAGGCACAGTGGTTATACYTGCCTCACATAGAAACTCAGCTCCCAAATGTTAGGCAGATTAGATTAACTGGAGGTTTTTGATTGGCCCAGATTAGACAAACACCTGAATGTATTTAGTATCACTTTTTAAAGCTGACATCAGTTCTAAATCAACCCAGTTAAACCATTAGATATTTCCCTTTTTTCTCATAAAACCACCAAATCTCACCRTTGTTATAAAAATTGAACCATAATAACTGAAGTCATTTAATGTGAATTACCTGCAAAGCATCGGGCTGAAAGCTTAAATTGCGCATTTGTGTTTATCACCCAGTTAATTTGAGACATCCCAGGTTTTACTCCTAAATTGCGAGTCATAATTTCACGTAGGAGAAGTGTTTACGCACAACGGTTCTCGTAAATAGGCAACAACGGTGGAAATGTAGGGAATAAATCAGCGTTTTGTAATGATGCTCGGCGTGGCAGTTTATTATAGAACACAAATAAAGCTGGCGTTTAAGTGAGAGGCTCAGAGCATTATGGACCTACAGCTTTGGTCCTGGCACAGAAACAGAGAGTTAAAGAGCTCCTCCTACATGTTAAGACAGTTAAATCTAACAGGAAGTGTGGAAAAAATAAATAAAATAGTGTTTTCTCCTCTTGAAGCATGAAACTCTGCAAACTGAGGCCGTCTCCTCAGCGCAGAGCTGCAGAGCTGCTGCACGCCTGCGTCTCATCACCTCAGAGGATTGCTGGCCACGAAATTAATTAAAGTCTAATACAGCCTTGTCTGGAGAGTGTGTTGGTCTGAGGGATTGTTAAAAGCAAATTAAGACTGAAGAGCCTTCCTCCGTCTGAGAAAATGACTCTTTACTGTGAGATCCACTCACAGAGGAGAGCTGTGAGGCGTTCAGGTTCTGCAGGGACGTTTCCACTTCCAGCTCCTGTTGGACTCATTCAGCAGCAGAACCATTTGATTTTTGGGTTTCTCCCTCGTAGTTTAGCTTTGGTTTGATTTTTCTGATTTAGTGACAAGAACTTTTTTTTTTTGTTCCTGAGCTTGTAGGATCAGCTGCTAATTATCACCTTCATCATGAATATTTGATGGCGAGGTTTTCTGATGTGTATTTATGCAAAGCCCCGAGGCTTTTCACCTTTTCTGCTGTTTGTGGGACCAGACGTTTTGTCATTACCACTGGATTTATTACAGCAGCAGGAAATTACAGTCAGAGGAAATGAGTGCAAAACGGTCAAGAACTTTTTATAAACTTTATGCATTTGAATAAGTGGAAAAGTAAATATAAAGTAAAACAATACAAAAAACAGAAATAGTAGTTATAATGTACTGCATGACTAAAATAGCTGAAAGTTTGCTAAATAAGTTACAGTAAGAAAAAAAAGAAAAAGTGTAGGACAGACAATAAACAGATTTACATAAAACATGTTTACAGTAAAACTAATTCATCTAAAGATGAATATTAACAAATATTATGTAAAAAACATTGGTACCCTTTGCAAAAAGTAGTATATGCAAGTATAGTGAAATTATACTAATTTTAATCCAAAAAAAGTATACTTCCAGTTTACTTTTTTATCTGGGATATACTAACCCTTAGCAAAACAAATGTTTATTTAAATGTACTACAAGTATACTGATTTTATACTTGAGATAAGGCAGAGTACTTGAAATTTACTTTTTATAAACTAGATTCGATATACTTAAGAATAGTAAAGTGAAGTATACTTGGCTTATATGTACAAAAATACTTATACTAAAGTTTATAATTGTACTTTTGTTTTTGCTACTCTTTACTTATTTATGCTGCAAAGTACTAATACTTATAATTTAAGTGTACTTCTTCAAACTAAAATATGGACTGCAAGTATCTACAAAGTACATTAGTAGTGGACTAGTGGTATTTAGATGAGTATACTTGAACACATAAATTGGAGTGTATTTCAAGTGTATATTTTATAAAGTAAAATTGTCCCGATCCAGTCTGAAAAAGTATTAAATCAGTATATTTATAGTGTACTACAATTACACAACGCAAAGTATACTTGATATACTTATACTTATATTCAAGTATACTAAATAAAACAAACGTCAAGTATACCACTTTTTGCTAAGGGTTTATAAAAAATAGAATCTAAAAAGTATTTCAACAATAAATAAATAAATAAATAAATAAATAAATAAATAAATAAATAAGTTTTGTCTGCAGGGTGAACTTTGTCCAATTTATAAGTCAATCAATGAAAGTTTTTACAGTTTTTGAGTCTAAAATAAAAATAGACTCAGAAACACATTATTTAAAGTCTACACAGCGTTATTCTTTAACAAACTTAGGATCAACAGGTACGGTGGTTTTGCAGAAGCTGAAAGTCATGTTTGACAGGAAGTCATTAAAAAGTTCACGTTCTCTGTGGCCCCGGCTCTGATGCCAACAGAGAAATGTAAGTTTTCTCTTCAGCTGAGCTAACCCAGGCTGTGCTGAGAGGACCTCGCAGCGTCTCCTCATACAAAATTCATCCTGAAGGTCATCCTGTTTGTGGCCAAGAAAAATGACTCGTGGCCTTTACTGAGTCGGGACTGGAAAACTGGGAGAGCTGCTGGAACTCAGCCTGACTTCAGCAAACAAACAGGAGCTGAGATTTGTTCCATCGCTGCCTGTGGCCTGGCTTTTCTTCTTCTACACATTTATATAAAACACTTCAGATTTATAAAATATACGAGTACAGGGTTGTGTTGGCTCACGCGACTCTGCAGTATCGCATGGACATCGGGGGCAGCCCCCTGGATTGGCAGACTGGGGTGGTGGTCCCCCTGTTTAAAAAGGGGGACCGGAGGGTGTGCTCCAATTACAGGGGGGTCACACTCTTAAGCCTCCCTGGTAAGGTCTATTCAGGGATTCTGGAGAGGAGGGTCCGTCAGATAGTCGAATCTCGGATTCAAGAAGAGCATTGTGGTTTTTGTCCAGGTTGTGGAACACTGAACCAGCTCTACAC